GTAGCTTTGCGCGAAATTCAAAAACAAACAAACAATACAACATATTTCTTTGATTATTTCGTAAAGTTCCACGTGCGCGATTAAGCTAAAATTGACATCAAATAGTTTAAAATTTCAACCGTGAATGCAGTTGTTCAAAGCTTCGAGCCTAATTAACTTCAAAATAGTAATGTGTATATTTGGTTGATAAGTTTCATGCAGTCGTAAATAAAATGGTTTATTTAATGCGTTTATAATTTACACTTAGGTTTGTTTATTCGAAGGAGTTGCAATAAAGAAAAATGTAATACGTTTCACAGAAGTTTACAGAAACTCTAATAAAAGTTATCGCAAATGTAACACGCTTCACAGTAGTTTACAGAAACTCTGGTAAGAGCTATAAAAATGTAATATACTTCACAGACCTTTATAAAAACTCTGGTAAGAGCTTTCACAAATATAATACGCTCTACAAGAAATGTAACAAATACGCTTTAGAAGTTTACATAAACGCTGGTAAGAACTATCAAAAATGCAGTACGCTACATAGACGTTCACAGAAATCCTGGTAAGCGCTATAGCAAATGTAATACGCTTTGTGGAAGTTAACAGAAACTGGTAAAAGTTATACATAATCTTGATAATATATATTTTGCAAACATCGCATTCAAAGTGTGTTTACACTGGTTATCAATATCACACTCAAAATGTTTTTATACTGGTTAACATGTATATATATAACTTAACTGCGTCTACCTGCTTATTTTATTTGCTATCCATAATCAGCTCCATTGTAAATCCTCTTGTCTCCAACCTTTTGCCCGAGAGAGACAAATATCAATAATCGGGCGTATAGTTTCGGACGTGTTATTTCTATTTTAAAGCTTAATAATCTGCTATATTTATCTGTTTCGTGCTTTACATACTGTTTGCTGTTCCTTTGAAACAACTAGTTCACTGCTTTTTTTTTTATCTTATTTATGTCAATATATATTTTCTTAAGGAATTTTGATTTAATCTCAGGTGTGGAAGTGGATTTTGCTGGGCAGGGGAATGGCGTTGTCATGGATACGAAAATCCCTAGCGAGAGTTGGATATTTAGGGCTGACCGCCCTTATAGTTATAATATTACGTTTTAAGCTGATGGGATCCCATTTGCCACAGTTCAACAGGTGAGGGGGCATATAACTAGTGCATTTATAAATTAAATCATTTCTTCTATGCTAGCTATAAGCTTAAAACACCTTCCAAATATTTTTATATGTTGGAACAGATATGTGTATCAGTTTTGTTATTTGTGAATTACGACATTTTATATTACTGGGTGCATCAAGTAATTTTTATTCACCTTTACCCCCTTTATCTACTTCCAATGCAGCAACCCTTCGGATAATTGTTGTTTTCGGTATTTTTATCATAATTTTTCTGAAGTGTTAGAGAAGATTCTATATATAACTTTTGCCATACTTGTTCTGTTATTAATTTTGTTCAGGCAATAATAAGCTACAGAGTACCAGTGTTTTAATGTTACCAAATATTTTCACTAAAGATACAATATTCATTCTAGGTAATTGTTGTTTTCTGTATTTTTTATCTTTATTTTTCTGTAGTGTTGGACAAGACTTAATATTTGTTGAAACACAATTTTAACTAAAAAACACAAACTATTATGGCCGAGACGTTTATAACTTTAGGCTGATCTATTTATTCAATGTTTCCATTTTCTATTGAATATTGATTGGACAGACAGGCTGGTGATAGAAGACACTGGAACTTTTAGACGAAGCAGAGAAAGACTTTTCATGACCAACAGACCACTTGTCAATAACAGCAATCTTGTACTATATATCTTTAATTTGGAATCCTTTTTTTTTTCTTAACAAAATGAACTAATTATGCCAGTTTTTCTAAATGGTTACCAAATGTTCTTTTCTATTCATATCAATGCTCTCTTCTAGAATTAACATTCTATATTCTGATAGTATGAAACTATTATTTATTG